GGATTCGGGCTTGCTAATTGCGCGACAATTACATATGCTCACCGTCGTCCGAGTTGTTGTTGGGCCAGGCCCTTCCCACGCGACCGATTCTTTTGCTCAGGCAATGTCTCAGTACACAGTAGGGAAACGCCAAATCGTTGCGCCTGTTGATGGACTGTGGGCCTGAGAACTATGATTCGAGCAGCTCGCGACTCACGTGGTTGTTACCTCGCCCTATGGCAAGACTACATAAAGAATACAGGAGGCGTGAAAGGGCGCAGATGGCTAACGCGGCCGGAAACCGGCCTAGATTCAAGTGACTGAGAGTACCATATAAATCATATTAAGAAAGAGCCAGTGCTGCCCGACCTTCAGTCCGCCAGTCGGCCACTCCACACGAAAATAAACTGGGCTGGCAGCGCAGTTAACATTACCTCGTCAGGTGGCAAACTTCCAAACCTCCACTTTTAGCCTACCGGGATAGTTTCAAATTATCACTATTTTAACTAATTACTTTGTTACTGACGAAAAGTGTTTGACTAACCGATGGGAGTTTATTAATTTGCCGTTTCTGGTTTGTACGGGGACAGTAGACAAATGTGACTGGCCACAAGTGTGACGACCACTTCAGACTCATCTATCGCCTGCAATACAGGATGGAAAGAACCGATGTTTAGGTAGGTCTTCAGTTGAGAATTGAGTTGGATGCTCTGCCAGTTGAGTTGTGGGTTAGTGTTTTATCGACCTCGATTAAGTATATGAAAAGCCACATAGGAATGTCATTCACCTATTTATTTCTTTGGATATCGGAAAGTGTGGACAGCTTACGACTGAAACAGAGTCCAGGAGACCAGTGTTTAATGAGACTTGCTTGTGCACAGTGGCATCTCATTGGTATGTGATGCTCGGTAATTGAACAGTGCGTTACCTTGCCCCGGCTTTATTCTTAAGGCAAAACACATAAAGACACTGGACATGGGAATTTGTAATTTACGTCGTCCATAGATGAGCAAAAGACAAGCAGACAGTGAAAGATAGAGAGAGGGAGGGAGATAGACGACAAAAACCGGTTGATTAAAACCTTGGGCTAACACTAGCATCTGCGTCAACTTAACAGGTACCCGGCTACATGTGTTCTTGCTGCTGAGATGCTGCAGTTGCGTTTAAACATTTTAAAGACCGTTTTAACACGGCCTGGCGGCTTAAAGTCTATGTAATATTAGTGACTGTCTGCTTCCTCACGTTTCGAGCACACCAGATAAGACCCAACAATCTTCCTTTTTATAAGGTTGTATATGAAAATGTTAACGATATGACCGTGAACATACAAATGTCTTTAACAGCCCTCAGAAATAACGGTACTATAACGCTGCTTTATAAGTGATGAACGTAGGTTTCTTGTTCTCTCTTTAATGTTAACCCCGCAAGCCTATCAATGATCGGAAAGGTCGTCTCACTTCTACTTCCCCGTGTCTTGTTCCAGCTTCTAGCAGGCACCTCCATGATGACGAAACGTCATCACGCAGGAAAAAAGCAAATGCCCTCAATTTTATGGTTTTAGACTTGAAGTTTCCATTGCCTTTCGTCTATGCCTACTGCTGGTCTATCAGATAGAAGGTCTGAGTGCCAAAAGTGTCATTTTTCTAAAAGACCACTGTTTCCCCAGGCCAGACGTTTCGTCCACAGAGATCAGACAGAAATCCTGAGTCTAATTTGATTGGCGTCTAGAATTATCCTGCGCACAAGTTTAGCATCCACGTCAATTATAAACGCGATCGCCTTTTAAACCAAGAAAGTGGATATTGGTAGACTAATTCGTAGATTTCAGTGGTTTTGTTCAGTGACATGCACATTATCCGACAGTTCAGCGGGTATTTCGGGTGTTACGTTTGCTCTGAAATAAACTTTAGAAATATACTACCTTGCAAGGAGGAAGCGCGAGCCCATAAATATACTTGCTGCCTGTTTTTCGGGCGCCAACATAGCAGCTGCTAAATTTGTTTGCACTTTTCCTAGGCTTACGGGAAATATTTCTATGAGTCAAGGGCAAGACACGGGAATATGAAGCCTCTGTAATGCAGATGGCGCTACGCTAAATTCAAGTGTTTTTAGGCCTAGGGTTAAGCCTGGATGTAATGGTAAGGAATAATTGTATGGCCCCAAAACAGGACATGAAAATAGAAACTACCTGCAGTACAGGCGACTTTGCGCCAAATTTTTGGGGGAATCAATGTTATTTTAAGGTTAAGGTTAGGATTAAATTCCCGGTTAGGTTTAAGGTTCTGTTGCCGTGAGGAGTGAGGATGACCCTCGGCGCACTTTATTCCACGCTATAATGAAGATTCCTCACTATAATTACTCCGACGCGCTTGAATTTATCGCGGTACGCTAAAAGCCGTGGCTTGGACGGTTGCCAGCTAGCGGGTACCTCGGACACCTCAGTTGGTCCAGTGTGTCTGGTTGTGTGATGTGGCTGTCTGCGGACTGAGAG